GTATTATTATGATTACTACACCTAAAAACTGATCTCGTACTGGATAGCTGTGTCTCAATGCTACATACAACACAACAACACATTTAATCCCTTCCAAAAATGAGGTTGCATTTCATTATAAAACAGTTCAGATTTAGGTCATATCCTTATTTGTGTGTTTGGCCTTCTCGTTACATGCCCTACCTTCCCGGATGAGGCAATCCCTTTAATGACAGCCAGACAGACGATGATCCAGGCCACAAGCAGAGACAGAGTCATCTTCACGTTGAGTCCTCCACTCTCTGCGATTGTGCTTGTGGTGTTCAGAGTCTGACGGTACCAGAAATAAGTGGTGGCTGAGCTTTTGTCACATTCTGGTTCCACAACTGAACAAAGAGGATACAGAAAGAGGTGAGCAATAGGACAGGTATGAACAAACGGTTACGTTAGTTTATTTGACACTGTCGGAGAATTATTGCACTTGATAAACAATGTTCCACAGTAGAGTGTTAAAGATATCTATGTCCATGTAAACAAGCACCATGCCACCAGTTTAATTCCATACTGTGGAATGCTCATTTTGACTCTAGGAGGATCCACTTCTCTGAGGAGACAAGCAGGTAGCCCACCACAGTATAAAGAACTTGATTTTAAGTGAATTGCATAACAATTGCTTAACAAGCTAACAACCAAACCAGCAAACCAAATAAAAACCCAGCAGAGGTAATGATAACCTTTGGATTCTTGAAGTTGGGAGCTAAACAAGGTCATGCAGAGGCAGCACTATGAATCTCTTGGGGAAATGAAATGATACACAGAGTACACAGAAAAGAAACAAGACACTGCATTTTTAACAGCGAGGATGTGCACACTTTCACAGTGGCACAGCACAGGCTGCACAGGAGTTGTTTAGGTCATTTTAATTATGACAAAATATACAAAATATTACAGTGTGGGTACTATGGGTGGTTTTGAAATATGACCAGAAGTAGAACTGTTCTACTTCTAAAATACTTTTTATATGTACAAGAGTAATTCAAGTAGGCCAAGCACTTTCACTTGGGTTAACTGCTTGACTACTGCTGTGAGTAAACCAAACTGATTAAAGGTTTATTTTGAGATGAAAGATTTGAAAGTTTTTAGTACTTTCCCCCTCAATGAGAATTCTTCAGGGGAAAAAATGCTATTTTATTATTATTATAGCATATGTGTTTTACAGTACGCTAACTTTACAATTTTTGTTTACCCAACTCTGCATTTGTTGACTTACTGGCAAGTGTGCCATTCCTCCTTATTGGACAGTCGCTCCAAGGCAGAGGATACTGGAATGATTGGAAGAAGTAAAAGATGCTCCAACCGATGATAACATTATAGTATAGCCCAACAAATCCACACACCTGCAAAACAATAGAAAATAAGTTAAATCGCATAATAAGTGAAATCACAGTTTTTATGTATTTGGAGATGTAATTGCATTGTCTGGAATGTTCCACAGTATGGCTTGAAAATGAACTTGCATATAATCAGTGTGTGTTATTGTGGGCACACCTCTCTTCAAATCCAACTGAATTGATGACATGACCTACTTCATGGAGATAGATGGGTTCAATGCCATACTGTGAAACATTCTAGGCAAAACATTAACATCTGATCTCCCTGGACAGAAGCCAGTGGCAGATCCTCTACCAGAAAAGTTACATACACCTATAATTTCACAGTTTTACAAGGCTTTTTCATAGCAAGCCAATCTGCTGTCATTCTTAGGTATCTTATGAAGATTATCATACAGAGACTAAATAAAGCTGAGAAAAGCATGAATAATTAAAGTGCTCTCCTTTCAGCAGTGATATGGGCAGGATATTTATAGCTCTGCAGCAGTGTCTTTGCTCAGGGAAGGCAGACCTTTGATTCTCAGATATTTCAATAGAACAAGTGCTCTGGAGAGAGACACACTGACTCCACATGCATTCTGGGTCAGGATCAGTTTCATGGTGATATTGACTTTCTGTACTATACTACATTATCTCATATGTGTAAAGATGGACAACAGTACTAGAGTAAACAATACGGCTATTACATGAACAGACTTACAGTAAAACGCCCCTATTTCTCAGTTAAATAAATCTTGCAAGGTGAAGTATATAACTTTTTCTGTCTGATAGCCCAGGAGACACTGAATGCTATTTTTTTTTCATCACAAAGAAACATGTCATTAATAAGGTTATTGTGTAATAAAAGCTCTCACCATCAGGCTGGACATCCCAATCCCACCCAAACGAGGACAGACGTAGTTCCAGACACCAATGCTCCCTCTGCGGATCTTCTGTCCCACAGCCAGCTCAAGGAAGAACAGTGGAATCCCAATAACGAGGAGTAGGATAAAATACGGCACCAGGTATGCTCCTAAAACATGGAGGGGATTGTGTTACTATGTGTTCACTGTATATTGTTGAATATTGGATATGTGAACTGAATGTCAAAACAAGTTGCTCTACAATTTAGTACAAATTTATTTATTTTCCCCAATGTAGCCAGATATGGTGACTCTTAACACCATAAATCACAATAAAGTATACACAAAGAAAAGGTATATGTGAAGTGCCTTGCCCATGGACACAACAGCAGTGAGGACAGAACAGGCAATCTTTATGTTATCTGATATGTGTGAATAATGAATATATATTCTTTTCCATTCTATTCTACAAATGATCTTTTGAGAGTAAAAGGCATGGTTATGCAGGAAAGAGCAGACACAGTGGTAAGTGTCCACAGCACACAGCTTTAATGTGTTTGTAATAGCCCCACAGTCTGTAAATTGGACAGTGAAAAATAGCCTTTGTCCATGCACTATAACCTTGGGCTAAATGAGTCTGCAATTTGTAAGTTCTCATTAGTTGTATTTATTATGTTGTATTTGTAAAACAAACACTGTTTCACTGTTAGCCCATAGATTAACATATGCATCAAATGAATCTCAGGGGAAGTCTAGCTGGACTGTGGTATACTATTACGCTCATTTTGTTTGGTGTTTCGTGAGTTTGACCTGCTGCAGTACAGATCAATGAAGCAGCTATATTTAGACATGCTTTTTTACATAGAGGTCCCTTGGTACGAGGTGCTGTTACTGTACCAAATCAAAGTCAGAGTTGATATGAATGATCATTGGTCATTCACATGCATGTGTCGACCAGTAGCTTTTGGACCAATTAGCTTGTGAAGATTGAGACAATTTATTAAAAATCTATTAATCTATAACTATTCCAATGTTTTTGTGGAATGCATGCAAAAAATTTAAAGGCTGACCAGTTGTCAAAATAATCGATAGCCAGATACTACTCAAACTTGTATAGAAAGAAACCATACTCATTTCAGCAGGTATCCATTCTGAATAAACTGCATAAATCGGACAACATTAGACTTGTCCTGAATAGTTGGTTGTGACTGTGAATGTTTATTTTGTGCTGAAATATGGATTATGTTGTATTAAAAAAAAAATCTGAAAAATGTGTTTTAAATATGATTGTTGCTGTATTTTTTATTTTTTATTGTGGCCCTACCAGCTTGTCAAAGCCTTTGTCAAAGATCTCAGAAGCTAAGCAAGGCCGGGCCTGGTTAGAACTTGGATGAGAAACTGCTGGGAAAATCAGGTGCCACAGTGAGGCGCAAAAATTTGTTGTGTCCTTAGGCAAGACACTTCACCCACATTGCCTAGGAAGAAAGTGGTGTGTGAGAGTGATGGTGGTGGTTGGAGGGGCTGATGGTGCAGACTGGCCTTGCTTCTGTCAGTCTGCCACTGAGTGTGGAGTGAATGAATAATACTCTGTAAAGCATCTCTGAGTGCCCAGAAAAGATCAAACTGATGCATTATTACAATTATTTTCATTGTAGTATATTGGTATGTGATTGGTTAATGGAGCTCTAAGTATGCAAAAACTTGAAGCAATTTGATGTTTGACTTACCTCCTCCATTTTTCTGACACAAATAGGGGAAGCGCCACACATTACCGAGTCCTACAGAAAATCCGACCTGGGCCAGAATGTACTGCAGTTTGCTGTTCCAGGCGGGACGCTCCTCATTATCTGGGACTTGTATCTGAGGAACCTTCTTCCCAGAAACATTCAGAGAGCTGTTCTTATAGTCCAGTGGCTCTTCGTGAGCGAGTAGATCGGCCACAGATTCAGTCACATGTTCATGGCTTTGCGCCCTCTGCGTCACTTTACTGTTCTTCGGCATCAGGAGGTCAAGTGAGGGGCGATCTGGGACTGGACCAAGTCAGATGGGCTTAAGAGGTTCTGCAGACAAAAGCTCTCTTTTCCGGGCCACTGTAGTGAATCTGCAAAAAAAATATATATATTTTTTTATGGTTATAGTATTATTGTGTCATTCTCTGAAATGTAGTTTAAGATATGCATATAATGTAATGTAGGCCTATAAACCAAGCATAAGGAATATATACACCACAATAGTGGTTCATTTCTGAACCAGATTATTCATATGAATTTAAATGTACTGGACCATTAATCTGCATCATCATAATATAGGGCTGAGCAATATGGCAAATAAAAAGTATTGATTTCAGGAACATAAATAAGACTCTTGCCTATGTGGCTTTAAAATTTGCTCCGAACAACATAGTTTTACTTACAAAGGATTGACTGTAGACCTCTCAATTGAAAAGATCCAATTATTGATGAGTAAAAATGATTCAAAATTGATTAATTGCCCAGGCCTACCATAAAATAATGTTAAGATCCTAAAACCAATTTCAATGTCAAGAATGAAAAAATGTTGATTTTTTCTTTGGCAAAGGTATCAGCACTGTCCCTTCATTTGGCACTCAATTAAGCCTGTAATATGACACACTACAAATCACTCTATTTGTGGTGCCAAAAAAAATCACACCTAATTCAACTTCAATTTTGGTCTTTGAAAACTGAATCTCATGACCCAAAATTACCAATCTAGGAAACTGTTCCATTCAATTTACCAGTTCTACAAGATTAACTTCAGTGAGGCTTTTCCCTCTAAATCCTGTAATCCTCTGGCAGTATTTTTCATCCATTCAGATTTACCCCATGTAGTTTGGGATGTCCTGAATACCGTTATACACAAAGGTGTTCACCAGTTCACCTGAAGAATGCCTTCAGGAAAACAGAAATACTATTCTCTAAAGTTAAGTGGGGTCAGATGTTAATGTTCGTTAGTGTTCTACATAGCTCTATAGCCTTTTCACAATTTTACATGCAGACTTTGCTGTATGTCTTACAGCTATAGTTATAAAACATTGTTAGACATGCACAACATTTCATCCCAAATGATCTGAGAATCTGTGTTGAAGATGTTCTTTTCATATCTATTGCAGATGTGAGCATGTGGAAATTATGCAATAATCCGGCTCCATTCACCAGCACTGCTGCTCAGCCCTCTCCTCTTTATAATCCTGTGTGGTATACATTAACGTCATTGCTCTCTCTCTCTCTCTCTCTCTCTCTCTCTCTCTCTCTCTCTCTCTCTCTCTCTCTCTTTCTCTCTCTCTCCAATCCCAAGACACGTAATATCAATCACTGCTGCATCATTCACTCAGGAAAGTAAACAGAGCCCTAAACAACACCAATAATCCAGATGAACATAGACACGCTCAGGCCACGTGGACAATCCATGCCCTCACCCACCAATCAGACGTTAAGACCATTGAGTCATTTGAATTTCTCATTCAATTAGCGATGATGTGCACCTGATTGAATGACACTTGCTCCTGGACCGAATATGATATAGTATATAAACATTGTTCTGGGTAACAGTCTTTTTATTGTTTTTTATTGATTACTCTGACTCTCCGCCACTCTCCGCCACAAACCTGATGTCAAAGTGACCCTCAAAGGCCTGAATAAGTAGCAGAGTATACTGCACCTGCTGTCTAAAAGACAAATGCAGGAGAACTCAGAATGTTAATTACATCAACAAATATGACCAAAACAAAACAAGCACGTGCCCGTGTCCCAAAGCAGTTACCCTGTTTAGTAGTCCAACCTAATAAAAAGTAAGTCACAAAAGTTTTACCTAAAACTCTTATGCGTCCTGTGCAGTTCTTGTGCTTCAATGGAAATTAACGCTCCTATCCAGACAGAGGCATGGACTCATCCGGATGCATCGCTGTTATGACTGTGTTTGGACCTGAGCGGACTCAGGACACTGGAGGACGGAGCATCACATGCTGCTGCCCCGCTCCCCGCCAACATCCGCGCGAGGGAGGGGTGGAGTGGACCAAACGTGACGCACATAGCGCTGCACTGTAGGCTACGTTTAAAAATGATCAACTATAGGTGCAAATTCATGTAGCCTAGCACTATTGTGAGAATTTCTTTTGGAGAGTGGAATGGGCAGATGAGAGTGGGACAGATGCTATCAAGGTTATCCACTCCCACCTTAGGAGGGGTGCTCTGACGCGCCGCGTGTCACCGCTAGATGAAAGGGGTAAAAACACACTGTTTCTACATGAGCACTTAAAAAGTCCTCACATGTCAGAAGAAGTTGTGGGGAAACAGGGCAACGGGTCAAAAAATACCTCTGATGTGGAGGGATGGAAGTTGCAGACAAAAGGAAAAAGCTTTCTTATATCCACTGAGTAAAACTATATTTTGATCAAAATTGTATTAAATTTTAAAAATAAATCATCACATCCCTGCTGGAAAGTACATAGACATAATCAAACGTTCAGCCTACAGAAGACATTAATTTTACTTTTGCATCTGAATAGATTATTGCATTTGTCAGTTGTATTACAGGAAATGCGTTGGTGGTCTGAGTTCTCTATTGTGACAGAGGACACACAGTGCAGACACATCACAGCCCTGATAATAAATCACCCAAAATAATCTTCAGTTTTACAGAGAAAAAGAAGATCTTATCCACAAACCATTAGTCATTCTGACCATGTGCAGTTTTTCTGTCTAAGCTTCTGTCAGATCCTTACACATTTTTCTAACAAACCCTCACGATATATGACCTGCAACTTTAATGTTGTTATGACATTCATTCAGGACTATGCATGACCTCTATCATCATACAACAGGGGCTATAGATGGATGTTTTTATTCAAGGTCATTTACAATTTCAATGTCAGGTCATCCAAAAACAAAACCTCATTAGACAGAACAAATGTTAATTTGGCTTGTGTTGCTTAGTGTACTTGTTTTTTTGTTTTTGTTTTTTACCAGAGATGCACATACACTTTGGACAAAATAGCCCTTTGTAGATGAGCATTCACACTAGGTGATTGGAAAACATGACCCCCTGCTGTGTTTCTGCAGCAATTTGACCTTTTTGAGTCCCACTTTTTGACGCACTTCTCAGAACTGACGATGTGAACAGTTACCACAGCAACCTCAGATCATATGACTCTGATCACTCTGCTTTCTCTGGGTCCTCCTCAGTCCTCAGCATCAGTTCCTTAATGCTTTGACTCAATATAAAGTGAATTTTGATGGCACCAACCAAACCTGTAAAGAAATTTATTTTATAATGTAGAGCTATTTCCTATCTTTTACAGTTAGACTTATTTCAGTCCTTGCTGCCAATTTTGAATGGATCATATATTTGTAGCCATGAGGCTTTATAATGAGTTGGTGTATCTCATAATCCTTATTTATTTATCATTACCTTTAGGAGAGAGGAAGAATGTGTGTGAATTTGCCTATTGTTATTTTACACTGAAGATTCAATATTTTGACCTTTGGTCCTGGATAACAACATGAAATTTCTAGTAAATAGTTTGAGTAATTATCATTATCAAATTAGTAATGAGGCCTGAAACTATTTGCTCAGCTGCCCTCTGTTTAGCAAATGTTCACACTGTCCCATTAGAATAGAGACAGAGAGAAATGTATCCTTTATCCTTTGATCACTATTTATTTCAAGACAACTTTGTATAATCTATTAAGTTTCCTGACTGACATTTTTCCAAATCTCAAATCCCCACAATTGACATCCTCTGCAGTTCACCTTGATCCTTGTCTTCCATTATTTTACTCTCTGCCCCTCTGACCAGGTTCATATATGTGCTCCCTCTCACTGCCTACTTCTGCATCTGCACAAAGCCCCGGTACTTTTCCTCCACTTTAGCTTGTTTATATTCCCCTGTGCTACCGCCCTCCTTGTGCTCCCTGGGATTTTGTGCTCTGGGTCAAACTCAGATCCTAAAAAGACTCATAGCCGTATATGACAATAGTCAATCAAGTATTGTTGAGAAGAAGAGGTATAGCTTTATCCACAGCAAATGAACCTAAATGTAATAGATTTAGGATGCATCAGGTTACAGGTGTGTGCAGGTGTTCTGACACTGGTAAAAATAGGTCATGGTGGCCTTTGGTACATTGCAGTTCTTTTCCACACACCTTTCACAAAAAACAGGGTGCTGTAGTGACAAAACACTCCCCAATACTCAGTGCCACAATTAGTATTATCAACAGCAATATTGTAATCAAAACTGATTTTTTTTCTGACAACATAATTAATGCCAACCATTAATTATTAAAAAGCCTGTATTTTTGTGTATTTATTATTATTTCTATTATTAGTTACTGAAAATTAGACTAACAATGACAAAAAAACAACAACAAAAAAACAACTTTGACTTATTGTAGCATGTTGCTTTTCAAGGACTATGGTTAGAAGACAAGAAATTAGTGCATTGTTGTCACAAACTCCAACAGATGGTGTCTCAAAAATGGGCCAGTCCACCCACTAGGGCAAGGGCAAGCTCCTGTCCCTATTTTTTGTCAATATAATCCTCCTGAAATAAGTTTTCAGAATACTGTTTTATGTAAAAGTTTAAAGAGCTACAAAGCATAAGCCTACACTTATCTCGGTCTGCTTCCCTATATCTGTCTATCTATCTATCTAACTATTCTCACTCTCTCGCGCGCGCGCGTGCGCTATAGAGAGAGAGAGAGAGAGAGTGAGGACTGAACAGATATATATATATATATATATATATATATATATATATATATGTATATAGGGTCTACCGCCATCTGGTGGTAAAATTAACGTATTACTTAGAGACTTTCGACTGTGAGAGCTTACATTAGTGTTGAGGTGAAGCAAAATGATTGAAGTAGTCATTAAAGTCACAGTACGTGTAGTATGCGTACTGGATAGTCTCACCCTTAAGGTGTGACATTTCTGCTAGAGACCTACCTACTAAAGAGGGTAACTCTTTAAAATGTCTAAATAAGGATATGATTATTGCTATCATCTGACTCAATTATTTATGGTTTTATAGTAAGGTCTTATCAAATCGTTTTTGCTGTTGTACTTTGAATCCAAAACTGAGCCGCACCCATATTTATAATAAGCGAATGGGCTTCAGTTTAAATGACGTGACATTCCTGACAGCCAATCACTTGTGTGTTACAGTGAAGAGGTGGGACTTCCGCTACAGTAATGCCAGTAGATCTAAGATGGCGGACGTGTCGCCCATCTGAGTGAGTAAAGAAGCAACAAATAATCAAGTTTGTTTGGATCTAACCGAACACTATCTAGACATTTAACATCAAGTTTTCGAAAGACTTCAGCCTTTGGAAATGAAAGGGAAGGAGAGATCGCCAATAAAAAAACGCGCTCGGGCTCCGGATGAAGGAAGAGACCGAGGAGGAAGCCACTCGAGCGGCAAGAAAGCTGGAACCATATCAGCATCTGGTAGCAACAACTCGGTCCAAAGCGGTGCTTCTTCAAGGCGGAATATACACCCAGATAAAAGAGACATGAGAGACATGGAGCATAATTCATCTGGAAGGACTAGTAGCGGGTACGACTATGGAGCAAAAACGCACGGCGGCGCTGACATTTCTCCCGAAGCCCGCTCCGCTTCGCGGCCTCTGCCTAACACGGAATGTGAGTACAAGACTTTGAAAATAAGTGAACTGGGCAATCAGCTCAATGACGAAGAAATAGAGGACGGGCTGTTCCATGAGTTTAAAAAGTTTGGGGACGTCAGTGTTAAAATCAGCCGAGAAAACGATGAGAGAGTAGCGTTTGTCAACTTCCGGAGACCAGATGACGCACGCGCAGCCAAACATGCTCGTGGACGCCTTGTGCTGTATGATCGTCCTTTAAAAATTGAGACTGTTTACATAAACCGCAGGAGGAGCCGCTCTCCCGTTTCCAAAGACAATTTTCTCCCAAGTCAAAGACCCTCGCACCCTCAAAGGCCGCTCTCGCCCCCTGTAGGCTACAGAGACTACCGCCTTCAGCAGTTAGCCCTGGGTCGCTTGCCCCCGCCTGCTCCGCCGCATCTCAGGGACCTGGAGCGGGACAGAGACTTTTATGACAATCGCAGCAGACCGCCGTTCATTCCCGAATGCTTTCGTGATGATGACCTGTTGAACTCTGAGGACGGACAAAGGCCAAACCGGACTCTGTTTCTGGGAAACCTCGACGTGAGTTTGACTGAGAGTGACCTGCGCAGAGCATTTGACCGCTTTGGAGTCATCACAGAGGTGGACATAAAGAGAGCAGTGCGAGGCCAGTCCAACACTTATGGATTTATTAAGTTTGAAAACCTGGACATGGCCCATCGAGCCAAACTGGCCATGTCTGGGAAGGTTGTGGGTCACAGCCCCATAAAGATCGGTTATGGAAAGCCCACGCCCACCACCAGACTGTGGGTTGGAGGACTGGGTCCGTGGGTCCCCGTTGCTGCTCTGGCCAAAGAGTTTGACCGCTTTGGGACTATTAGGACTATAGACTACAGAAAGGGGGAGGCGTGGGCATATATCCAGTATGAGAGTCTGGATGCAGCGCAGGCTGCTTGGACTCACATGCGCAGCTTTCCACTGGGAGGCCCAGACCGCAGACTCAGAGTGGACTTTGCAGAAGCTGAATCGCGCTACCAGCAACAGTCGTACATACAGCTACCACTGCCAGTGTCCCACTTTGACCTGGTCCCAGAGCCCTTTGCTCATAGACTACCAGATTCTGTAAGACTAAGGGACAGGTCTCCTCCTCTTCCAGCTCGCTTCAGAGACAGAGACCCATACCCCCCTGAGTGGTCCGGCCTCAACATTCATGAGCGCATGAGAGGACCCCCCTTTGACCATGCCGACCGCCTGGACCGTCATTCCAGAGACTGTTGGACCATTGAGCATGAGCGAGACCTACAGAGCCGTGACGTGGGCCGCAAAAGGAGACATTTGGAGGACGGGTGGCGGCATGACCGTTCTCCAGACCACAATGACTATGTCCCACGTCGCCATGGTAACTCATTAGAGCGCAGCCCTGGAGGCAGCAGCCGGGACGGCCGCTACAGTGACTCTGAGCGCCTGCCTCGTTCGGGTCGGCCCTCTCCTGTCAAAGAGAGGAACAGTCATGACTTTGGAGAGAAGAGGAGAAGGACTTCCAGCCCAAGCCGACCCAGTTTGGACCGAGAGCACAGCCGCAGAACCAGTGACTCTGGTAAAAGCCCCAGCAAACGGGATGAGCGCGCAGACCGCACTCACTCATCAAAGACCTCTCAGGCCTCCAAACGGACTGCACAGAAGCTGAGCCCGGTGTGGCAAGGTGTCCTGCTGCTGAAGAACAGCAGTTTCCCCACCTCGCTGCACCTGTTGGAGGGAGATTTAGAGTTGGCCAGCAACTTGCTTGTGGAGGGCTCCACTGGAGGCCCTGTGTCCCAGCTGAAGATCGCACAGCGACTGCGCTTGGACCAGCCTAAATTGGATGAAGTCTCTCGTCGCATCAAAGCAGCGGGTCCTGGTGGATACTCCATCCTCCTGGCTGTTCCAGGGAAAACTGAAGAGGCTGCAGACAACAACTCCACAGAGCGGCCACTGAAAAACCTGGTGTCTTATCTGAAGCAGAAGGAGGCGGCCGGCATCATCAGCCTCCCTGTGGGGGGCAACTCTCGAGAGAAGGACCACGCTGGAGTGCTTCATGCTTTCCCTCCCTGTGAGTTCTCGCAGCAGTTTGTAGATGCTGCGGCCAAAGCCTTTGCCAAATCAGAGGAGGACTGCATGGTCATGGTCATAATCAGAGGAGCGTCCTGAGTATTTTACACTGATCTTTTGTCAGGGGTTGTTTACTGCACTGTGCCTTAGGGCTGATTCTGGGTCAGATTTGATAACATAAATAATTATCAGTTATGAATATTCTTTTTGTAATCAGGACATGTACATGACTGTAATGGTACTTACTAAACTCAAAATAACTCAATGCCACATGTCTCTATTGCCTTAATATTGGATTTAAGTAGAAGATTCATTTATTTTGATTACATTTTGTCATTTGAGAGAAAACCAATCTCCAAAGCTTCACCAATAGAAGAACGCAGTACTTTATATTTGTTTTGACTTTTTGGACAGAGTGAAATATCAAAGTAGAAAAACATTACTCCTTGGTTGTTGACTACTGTAGAGGAAATGAGTAAGTGCCTGCACACTGTAATGCAGTTCAACACAATTTTATTTTAACCAGATTCATTTCTATTGTAGGTTTTGATTTTGCGTTTATACTTAATTTAAACCCAATGTGTTGCACTGCATTAAGACAATACATTACCTACATAAGACAATTGTCCATCACCAGTGCAAAATGCCTAGTAAGTATATAGTCTTATTTTTATTACCTGGCATATATGTTCAAAAAACATATTTTGATTTAAAGCGATGTTTGCGATGACTAGAAGTCTTAAAAGATCTAATACAGAGATATTATTTTGTTTATTTCAGAATTTGTCTTATAGCATAAAAAATTTGATAATATTTTTATTTTAATATAGCTGCCCCAACAAAGCATGTATTGTGTAAAATGTAATGTTCCTAAAGAAGTATGTGAATATATTTCCTACAATCATTCAGATCAATAATATGAACTATGGACATTTGTGAACCGTACCAACAGTTTACTGTTCACTCTAATGGACTATTAAGTTTTCATTTGATTTAAGTACTTTGTCTGAATGAGAATGATTATTGCTGTATACTCAGGATATGCTCTGGAGAGAAATATGGAGAACATCTTTGCTCAAGAAGTAACTGTCAGAGAAACACAAAAGTGCAACATGCACTTACATACCTTTTGTCTCAATAAATTTGCTCTTTCGTGGGAAACCGCCTTGGAAGACCGATTTGTGACCTTTTGTGTTTCTGGAACCTTTTCGAGGAGGAGAGCGAGAGGGAAGACAGCTGCAGTTTGTCATGAGCTATTCATGAGGCCAGTGCTATTGAAAATGGCCTAACCCTAGAATACTTTTGTAGATATATGATTACTGCTCAGATGTGGCTTGTCTGGAGCTGCGGATAACAAACTTCAGTATTCGACTTCCTGGTTCCTTAATTGACTAGCCATTTCCTGCTCTGGCCCACTGGAGCACTGACAGAGCACCTGTGAAGGAGCAATGCTAACGTTTGTTTAGTTGCTTTTGGAGTGAAAGGAGCTAGTCAGACTTGAGATACAACTGATGGGGAAGAAAATCGTGACCCTGAGACAGCTTTGTTTGCCTTAAATTGGAACAACACAGTCGACTGTAGATATAAACATTTATTAAGATACTTTCAAATGTACTGTGCTGCAAAACAAGAAGCAAAAACTACACCAAGATGTTTACAGGACATAGGACCCTTCTCCAGATTCCAGTGTCCCCTGTGTGCTTAGTGCGTAACCATGGTAAAGTATTTGAAGTAGACAGCACTGGTATGTATCACTACATCAACACACGAATTAACCCTGTATTAATAATGGGCTGTAGCTGTTGGCCCAATGGCTATAACATTTTAACCTACAAAGTACCAACACAGCTCCACATCCATAACTAAGATTGTAAATGTGGCCCGGTGATGTGTAACTAAAATTTAATTAGTAACAATTTTCTGTTTCAGTTCATCAAATTGTCTTAGTTAGAAATTGGAAATGCGAGGATAAACCAAACCTATTTGCAATCTTCAACATGAGATTATTCTGAAATTTAGTTTAATAGCAAATACAATTTGAACATTCCTCAACCCTCTCATCTAGTGACACTGAGATTTTACAATCAAGTGAAAAACAAACTTTACAATATGTTCCCAAATGTAGCCCATAGGGTAGCTTATGTGTTGCAGCGATCCTCCAATTCAGGGAAGTATTAATTTTGTGGGTGTGGTTGACAAATTTCATTCATTACATTTCAAATATTTTGGTAAATATTTGTTTATGTATAATTTGTGATTCAAACATGTTTAGTTCCAGGTTCTGCAAAGCTGCTGGTGCAGGCAATGCTGGGGTGAGTATAAAGTTAAACCCTTTTAAATTCACACTTATTTATTTCTAAACATATTTTAAATAAAAAAAAAAACACCATGAACAGAAACCCTGTGTATTGTCTGTCTTGTAACTGAAGCTTTTGTGTAAAGTTGCCCTAGATTCTACTCAATAGTTCAACTTGGAAAAAATAGGCACATTTAATACTTATATGAAATGCTTAATTTGTTTAGATGTGTTTTTCTTGTTTAAAAAAAAAAAAAAGTTGCCAAGGGCTTGTAAATGATAACCTCGCAGTAAGAAATAATGATACAGAAGTTGTTATTTTGTATTTAGCGCTAACTTGACTACTTCTACTACTGGTGTTATAATCTCAAATGTACATTACTTTTAACAGCAAAGTCATTCAGGGTTGATATAGAGCCTTCCACTAGATGGCGCCTGGCCCTCGGGACTGCAACCTTCCTCGTGTGAATGTTTCGGGAGGGGTCTAAAATTGGAATGACTCATCTTCAGCATTTACACGTCTACCAGCTCAACTGCAAACACTCACACCTTCCACATCTGTGAGATTTACGAGATCTCCCCTCTCCGCTTTTCTAATAATAATCTGCCATTTAATAATTATGCTATATTTGGTAACTCGGTTCAATTAAAACTAAGACAAACTCTTATAATAATAATGCCCAGTTTACTGTGTGGGTTTATTCTGTACAGGAGTAAGTGTGTAAGTGAAGCAAGCAGGGTCAGTCTGAATTTTTAGTTTGGTGCAGTGCAGTAGGGAGCAGGACACTTGACATTGATTCATCTTCTTGCCTGTCTGTAACAGTTTAGACAGATCAGATATGACAGAAAGATTATCAAGAATTTTCTTAACCTTTGTGAATTCACTATGCTCTCATGCATGTTTAAGGGCCCACATAGTATTGCATATCTTTATCAAGAAGACTATTTTAAGAAGAGTTTAAGATCAGTACAGACCAATTTTAGTGGATGGATAGATTTACCAATTCAATTCAGCTTTACACTGTCCTTTGTGCCTCAAAGCAAGAAGGTATCAGGTATGATTATTCCACATCAGTTGGGGAACAAGTCAATATTCCACCTAGTCTTGAACAAACCAGTCTTCACCCAATGGCTTAGACATTATTTACTGAGATACACATTTTTATACAATTACAGTGAGAAGTTTGCTTGTAGAGAAGAAATGATAAAATCTCTTAAGTATTGTAGAACTGTGACCTCAAATGAATTGTCACCTTACATAATGCATTATTCCGTCTGTATCAAGTCAGCCCTGCGTGCTTCCTGTCCCAGGACAGGATACTTATAATTTTAGGGCCAACGAACAGATGAAGCAGATACACACGCGATAATCGGATTCCCTGTCCCAACTCTTTCCACTCCAGTGACGTGTGGGCTCTTCCATTTCACCCTCAAGTGAACAGCACAATGTCATTAGTGTAACTGTGAAACATAAGCCAAGGCTGCACTGCATGAACTTCAACAACAAGGCAGGTTTATTTAATAGCTTTTGAACATATTTACAACATAAGGAGAATACAGCAACAGTCAAGAATACTTTTAATAGACTATGTCATTGCACACATGATCCACAGTATAGCAGATACAAAGGCAATACAGTAACACAAGATGGGTTATTCTTTGGTAATAATAAATTCATTCAACATTCAATGCACTGTCTAAAGACTGACCAACCATAACATTATGACCACTGTTATTCTATTGTCTGTTAAAACCCGTATTAACAAATTAACAACTGCAAATATTGGAAGCTGAACTCCCCGCATGCATCACATTGTTTTACTGTCCCCTTTTTGGACTGCCCTTCTCTGGCGTGGGGTTGCTAAGCCATCTTGATTTGGTCTCTGTCAAACTCAAGGACAAAATGTTCACCAGCTGCTTGATAACTCCCCACTGCGTCATTCATTTGACCAGTCAGTGGTCATAATGTTGATGTGTGATTAGTTCATTTGCATAAAAGAGCTGCATAATTAGGTAGGGTATATTGATATATGGCTACCATCTTGGCTGTGCTTTATAGAATCCTATAAATCCATTTAGAAAGCACTTTAATGGCAATGTTGATGTTTGTCCATATAAATGTGATACTGTCTGACTGCTCTGTTGTAAGAGGCTATTTCTGACCACAGTTTAGACTGAATGAGTGGAACTCTAATACCCAGAATCCTTCATGTTGTTCTCTGTCGATGTAGTGTCTCCTGGGCCCTCTGCTCTCAGGCTGAAATCAGCTGTCTAATATGGCGCCAACAACATTTGTGTAAAGTTTTAGCTTTCCAAGTATTCTACATTGACCCAATGCACAAGTAACATGTTTAATTTTACAATTAGAAAAAGTAAGCATGTGGTCACTTTTTATGTCCACAGAGGTACTATTAGCTACTCTAAAAGTAGAAGCTACTGTTCGTGCTGCTCCAAGCCTGAACAAATGGAAAGGTTGCATAAAAATACTCAAATTTTAAAAGTCACAATATATGCAATTATTGTAAAATTATAAATTGTAAATAAATTCATTTGAAAGTCTTTTTAAAAAATGTCTGTGTAATCCCCAAGTCACTCAGGTAGGATTCATAGCAAAAGAAAATTCAGTCTGAAGCTTTTACCCAGTTGAGAAGACAGAATTCAGTTTTCTCTTTTAAAACAACAGATGCCAATTTGGGGGATTCCATACACCCTTTGTGCCTGTACTCAAGTGTAAGTAGTCTTTTTCTTGCCTGTGTAAAGCGCATCTGAGTTCCTTTTGAAAAGTGTTATATAAAACTAATGTATTATAATTATTACTATTAGTCAAGATAGAGATAAATCCTTAGCTTTCTTTTTATCTGATGGCTGGATGTTTCTAGTTCTAATGCTCAATTTCACATACTATATTGCTGTTTCAAAATTATTTTCTGCATAGCTAAATATTTATCTTCATCTATTGCTCTATAAAATAAAATATTATGTAATTAAAAAAAAAAAACAGTGAGCATTATATAACTGGATGTGAGGTCCACCTGAAGAAATTGTAAAATATCTTCACTGCATAAGAGCATTCCTCACAGAGTTACAACTGTGAGGTACAATGTACCCTGACAGGAATGTGAAACACAGAACAAAGTCATGATGAACTGACCCGAGGCAGCTCTGCATAAACATATCAGGCAGCATTCTCAGTGAGTAGAAATATTTTAAGTAAACTCAAATGTCATCCCAAATGTCATCATGCACACTTGGAAAGATGATATATATATATAGCTACATGTAACCTTTTATATTTTTAAGAACTTACTCACTACCATTGTGTTCTGTGCCTGGACGAGGCTTAAGGTGATTTCTAAACCACCATTGGAGAATATAAGTGCCCAGAGCAGCCTGAGCCTATGTCAGACTTGTGTCTATCTGTGGCTTCGCCCTGCCACTCCTCATCCTCCTCTCCAATTGGGTTCAGACGGCCATTCTGCTTCAGCTGCTCCTCCATGAAGCCCACATGTTTGTAAGAGAAGGTGTGGCCCCCCATTGGTGATGGTGTGTTGTCCTGGGCCCTGTTTGCAATGCTGACGGTGGAGGAGTGCAGACTGTCTCTGGGATCAGTCTTCTCCAGGTCTTGTCCCGGGCAGCAGGGGCAGTGGCACGGTGTAAGGTACAGGTAAATCAGCACAAAGACCACCGTGATCAGACAGCCCACCAGAGTGGTGTAGGCGGTCTTCAGGTTCTCCAGCCCCCCACTCATCGTGCCATTGAACACCAATACTGTTATATACAAGGTTTCATTGAAAGACTCTCCACTGGCATAGCACGTGTAAACCCCAGAGTCATCAGCTGTGAGTGGGCCAATCTGCAGACTCCCGTCATCTAGCATCAAAGCCGTCTTATGAGCTGGGGACAGCGGCACATTCCCAGGAAGCACCCAGCTCTTGATCACGTTCCTCTGACGGGTGTCACAGTCCAGAACCAGGAACTGTTCCAGGAAGGACTCTCTATTCATCACCATGACCTCGCTACAGTTCAGGTAGACTTTGTTCAGGTCCATGACAGCCATCTTCTCTTTGGCTGAGCCTGGCAGCACACAGGTGTGCTCGTCCTTGTAGTCTTTGGCAGAGCTGAGCTCCATGGTGTACCAGCGGGCCACCAGGTCATACAGCTCACAGCTGCAGGGCACTGGGTTTCGGTGGAAGTACAGTCCATTTTTTATCCAGGCTGGCAGCTCCTGCAGGTCATTTAGAGGCAGGTTTTTGATCTTGTTCCCGGACATGTCCAGCAGCTTCAGAGTCTCAAGTCGGCTGCGCTCTTTGACCAGCTCCAGGGGGAAGCGAGAAACCTGGTTGTTGCTCATGTAGAGTTTCTGAAGACTCATGAGGCCAGCAAAAGCTGAGCGGTCAATCTGAGTGATCTTATTGTTGTATAGCAGCAGCACCTCGAGGTGCTCCAGAGGCTCAAAAATGAACTCGTCAAGCTGCTTCAGGTTGTTGCAGGACAGGTCCAGAAGACGCAGCCGGGTCACGTACACAAAAGCCTCAGTAGAGAGAAAGTGCAGCCCATTATGGCTGAGCTGCAGCGTGTGCAGACGCCCCAGTCTGTTGGGAGTCCAGTCTGCCTTCAGCCGACCAATGGAGTTAAAGCTTAAGTCCAGGACAGCCGTGAATGGCGGAAGCTCAGTGGGGATCTGGGTCAGGTTTGTCTTCGAGCAGCTGATGATGTTACTGGCACACACACAGGACTTGCAGTCCAGGGGCATTGGAAATAACAGAGCAGCCAATGAAGGCATCAGTAACAGCAGACAGAGTACAATAAAGCATTTCCTTCTGAGCAGTTCCACAGAGGCATCATGGGAAATACAGCAAGACATGCCCATCTTCAGTGGAGTCTAAGTCTGGTCTGAGCAAATGGATGTGGTCCTCACAGAGCAGAGTCTGGAGCTAAAGGTGACACAGAACAATGACTGTTAGCCTATGATCAGGGTATAATCAAGGTCATATCAACTCATTAAAGGCGCACTATGAGGGAAATGTAATAATAATACATAATATTATCTGCATGATGGCACACCTTATAAGTTATTGTTGAACCAGCATAAAACCTCATTTTAGTATGTATGATATTTAGGCCTAAGGTGATTTACAGATAATACAATCCAATCACATTTCTCTTTCTCAATATATCCACATTTATCAGTGATTGAATGAAGTGACAAGACATTTATTTAGATTTGAATATGGCTGCTCTAGCATAAACAAGACCACAGTATTAGCCTATAATCCAATCTCCAGCTCCAGTCTCTAGCATTGTTTAAAAAAAAAACAGGCAAAACATGCATGCAAATATCTAGACCCATTCTACATGCCATCTCAACATCTGACCAAAAAATGTAATTCCCGAAGTAATCCTTATTATTAACAGACTGGCCTGAAAGCCAATGGATAGGCTATTTAAAGGTGCATCAGAATGAAACATACTGCCCCTTCAAATGTCGACTATCATAATATAAACTCAACCCTGAAAGTTAGTCCCATCTTCCCCATTGCTACAGTCTGGTCTGTGGTTTACCTTAGAGGCAGCGCAGGACCGTATAATTCTCACATGTCAGGACCGCCAGATGAACAACCCTCCGTGTAGTCTCCCATCGGGACCCTCCAAGCTCCGCAGACGGCTCCAGCTCTGTACACTGGCCGGAAGAGTGCGGTTTGCCCTGGTGAGGAAACACGCTCCTTTGACAGCTGATCCGAGGCAAGCATGTACCCCTCCCTCTATCTTTCTCACAGCGCTCTTTCCGTTATTTATGTCCCAGCGCCAACTCGTAAAAACACACGTGGTCTTATAATGAAAATTCTATCAAGAAGAAATGTCTTTGCAAATAAACTTACCATCCGCTACATAAATATAACCTACCTTGCACATTTGGTATTCTAATTTGCACGCGGCAAAGTGATTTCCTATTAGCGCAGACAGTGATGTATGGTCATTATGATGCTGCTGCGGTGAAGGACGGGCAAACGCTGCAGCCAGAGCGCTCTTCCCATCAGACGTGAGATGCATGAAGTCAGGAGGCTATGAGTAAAAGCGATCAATACGGAGACAGCGCAGAGAAAGCACCGTGAAGAGTCGTATGGTGTTGTTGTTAAAATGTGGTCACTAAGGTGGAGCTGTGGTCTGTAAATTGATTATAATTTGGCTTTCAGCATAGGCCTAGATGGGCCTAATATAATTTAATGAACAAAATGAATAAAACTTTACCAGCATCAGGTTGAATGAATAATTAATTAATCAGCAGACAACTAAAAATGTCATAAAACAGCCATAAAACAAAGGACTATGATTCAAACACAACTTAACATTAGATTACTAATGAAAACCTAGACTGTAGGGCAAAGTTTAAATTGTAGCTGGATGGTGTAGACCCCTTTTTTCAAGGACACAAGTTCAATATAATAAATTAAATTTTCATCGCTTGATGGTAGCCTGTAGATCTGTGATTAAGTGTCAAGGTTATCATTAAAGATTTACAGTCTGGGGCAGTGGTAAATTCATATACTCATATGTCAGTATTTCAGATCAGTATACCAGGTCTCCGAAGCATGGGCGTTTCACTTATGAAGGTCCAAACAGAATATCCACAAAAGTTGAACCTCATCATTATTTATAAGGGATTAAGTTCACAAAAGTGCCACTTTAATTAGGTTACACTCCAACATTTGCACCTGTGGGATTGGTTAATGCCACTACTTTTTGATTGTGAAAATGTCAACATTCTTGAAAAAGAAATTTGAAAGAATGCACTTAAAAGTGATCTGCTAAATAACAAATCACATAAGCCTTAATTAATCATCAAAGCACTTAATTAAGCGTAAGTGTAAGAAAGTGAAAACCAAATGGAAGTGGCAACGGGAGAGGAGGTCAGAAAGGTCAACATGTAACACCTGTGGTTGACACAGCCATGTTGTAATTAAAGCCTAATACTGGGACTAAGGATTCAGGACAAGCTAGCTAGATCAGATCAAAGTCTACTACGGTACTTGCACTAGATTCATGCAGTAGACTAGATACCTATAATTGCAAAGTTGTTAATTCAAATGATAAATGTGTTACCTTCTCTTGGCTAACACACTAAAAAACTGTAGAGCTTGTGCTGGAGGGTTTCTGAAAAGAAACCAAGGTCTCATGGCAGATCTCATCCAAGTCACATCAATCAAGTAAAGGTCACAAAAAGGTCATTGACTACAGTTTATCATCAGCAGTGCCATCAGACAGAGATTGGAAGACCCAAGACAGTACCACTGGTCACAGAGTCCAGTGTAGGCTATGTGTAATCTTATCCATAGCTAATATCCATATGCACAGACAAGTAAAGTCTGAATGGTCTATTACAAACATGCTTTTTTCTTTCTTAGACCTATGAAATAATAACAACGAACTATGGGAAGATAACAACATTTTTAAAACTTTATTCAAGTTTTAATGATAAATAATAATAGGGTTATTTTTTATGAGAATGATGACAGAGGATCAAATTGTATTTCAATAAACCAAAGTAACAATTGATTGAAATAGTATTGTAGATATAAAAACATCTTTTAACAACATTGTAATTAAATTAACTCTGCACATTAACAAATCACTATTTTAACTGTAACAGATCAGATACTTGCTGTTTGTTTGTTTTTTTTAGCTATTTGAGCACTGTCTTCAGCTTCTTATACATTTACTATTTAAAAAGGGGCCATTTTAAAGATTAAAGGCCATGTTATAATAGTGTTACCTCATCAAAAACATAGTCGTAGTTGTGTTTTCTTTCATTCACACATGTTTGCGAAATCCTCAACGTGCAATGCTCAAAATGCTCTGTTCCACCTTGTGATGTCATCAAGACGTAGTTTTCAAGTCAAAAGCTACTCCTTACCTTTAGTTCAGGAGAGACTCACATTTCCAGGGCTGAAATTATCCAAATGATTCTAGGTGTATGGAGTTTAAATCACAGTGGAGCACTTATAATGCCCATTTCAGAAGATGGAACAGTGTTTTCTACTTGAGGGAAGAACCCAGCATAAATATGTAGGATTTGTGTGTTAAACATTTGTGAATGAAACAAAACACAACTCCAGTTATGTTTTTGATGAGGGAACAACATGATAACATAGATCAGAAAATAGCATAATGGCCCCTTTAATAGCAATGGGATTCGTACTAAAATGTATAGAATTTTTTTTTTTAGAGAAATAGATTTTGTAGTTAACGTGCCATCAAGGTTTGTTTTCATTCTACCCCTTTTTCATCATCACAGTCTGTTTACATGGCATATCTTCTTGTACTACACATCCACAATGTCCGGTAACACTTATGTGTGTTTGGGCTGCACATGGACAGGCAGCTGCACTGTGTCTCAGGAGATTTACAGTTCTCTTGTGCATTATAAATGAGGTGCACAGGGGAGCAGCTCACCCAGGACATCCCATCAGCTAAATGAGCCCTGCTGCCTTAGAATCACTCCTGTTTGCTGTTAGAAACAAGTAAATGATTAGTATTGAGTGTTTTGTTTGGGGAGATTAACATTAGAGGGGCTGGTGATGATGAGGTACATTGTGTCTGACAGGTTGCAGTGACACATGGGAGAAATGACTGTTATGAAATGTGAAGGAGGATCCTCTGTGTCATCTATTATTAATGCCTGGTTTCAAATGGCATCTAAAGTAAACAATAGCCTGGGTCACATTATGCTTAAGTGAATTAATGTATACAGTATTTAAGTCATTAGTTAGATCTATTGCTATTGTAAATAAAAACAGGCTATTCTGTTCACTGTGGTTCAGCAATGGACAATGCTGCTGTCCAGACATGTTTATAACATATATAACAAGTCACAGAATGCAATAGTAACAAAGGTGGAGTGTCAAAAACCTCTCAGTCAACAGAGCACTGCACATGCACCTCTTATAAGAAACAGTGCTGAACTACAGCTGTCTACTATGACGCTTTGAACTTAGTGCCTCTACTGCCACCATCTGGCCAAACATTGGCAAGTTTCAAATATTAAAAATTGTTAAAAAATTAGAGAAGAGTTAAATAAATAGGGTATGTATAATTTCTATTTCAAATTTAATAAACATGATGATCCGTGTCCTCAGATATGAGGTGGACATGTTCAAGTCAAATACAGATTTTACTGATAATAATCCTAATGTTGATTTATTCTTCAAAAATATTGTACATAATAGCCTACTTTTTTTTGTTGCCATGTGGTGTTTTGGTATCCAGCTGATCATAAACCAGTTGAAAAGAAATCAATCAGTGTTGTCATGACCTACTTTTCAAACAGGTGAAAATGGCAATATGCTCTGTCCAATCTCACGCCAGCAGCAATTTACAAATGCCACAAACCCACTTTTTTACTAAATAATATATTCACTTGCAAAGGCCTTGACCAGTGCACTCTATAAACGATATTTTTTTTTCTTTTATTTGCAGCTCAATCTGTTTGAGAGTGCTGCGATGTGAACCGTTCTCTTCTCAGTGTCTCCAAGGCAACATTCATTACTTTGGCCTTTATCCATTATAACCTCACGGCATTTTAATAATATTTATAACATTTATATACAACATGAAGATCTGATGCTTGTGTATATGTAAGAAACAGGTGCTGCACAAGTGATCTGTATTAACCTATTTTCTGAACACTATATTTGTGTAGACTTCTGTGCTGAGGGTAGAGGCATGTTTAATCCACCTTGATATTTGCACATCCAAATTTACGCTAGTTATAATTGGCAGCGAGGCTCTCTGGGGTTAGCAGCATCCACCATCCTTTTTAGCTATTTCTGAGTGCAAATGTAGTGTCTATTTTCACAGTTGCCATAGAAACCA